AAGGCCAGTGGCATCTTGGCCTGTACCAAGCATAGTGAGTCCAGCAGAACTAGGGAAGTGATTGTCCTGCTGTAGGGAAATGACAGTACTGCTGTACTTGGCACTGATGAGACTGCACCTGGAGTACTGTGTTCAGTTTTGGGCCCCTCACTTCAAAAAGGACATTGAGGTAGGTGTTGGAGCATGTCCAGAGACAGGCAACAGTGCTGTTGATGGCTCTGGAACACAAGTCTGATGAGGAGGGAGTTGGGGGTGTTTAGTCTGGAGAAAAGAAGGCTCAGGGGGGAACCTCACTGCTCTCTACAACTACCTAAAAGGAGATGGTAGTGAGGTGGGGGTCAGTCTCTTCTGCCATGTCTCAAGTGAAAGGACCAGAGGAAATGGCCTTAAGTTGCACCAGGTAGGTGCAGATTACACATTAGAAAAAAACATTTCACTTAAAGAGTGGTTAGGCATTGAAATAAGTTGCCCCGGGAGTTGCTCTGGAGTGTTCAAGAGGCATATGGATATGGCACTTGGGGATGTGGTTAAGAGGTGATTATGGTGGTGCTGGGTTGATAGTTGGACTGGGTGATCCTTGAGGTCTCTTCCAACCTTCATGATTCTGTGATTCTGTGATCTCAGCCGGACCCAGCACACTGTTATTACTACTGTACAATACACAGTAAAGTTTAAAATTGTCCATCACTCATATGAGCCATGGCCCCTGCCATGAGATCTGCACCAGTGCAAGACTGAAATCTGGCCATATATAGATACAGTGCCATCTAGCATCAGACTTTGGTTTGTCTTAGGGGCATTAAGTTTTATTATGTTACAAACAACAACAATAGAGTGTGTAAACTAACATGGTAATTACAGGAAAAATTTTAGGCATTGACCCAGTTGTATGACATTACTTGGGGCCATTGATCAAATTTTGTCAATTCCAGGATCAACGAGTGTCAGTGTTTTGGGATGTAAAGACCTTATTAATAGTGTGCTGTCATGGTCTTTGTATCATCATGGCTTCTTTGAGTGTTTAATTAAATATGACCTTTTAATTGAAAGAAAATCTTTGTCTTTATACATCTCAAAACTGGCAAAAGATACAGTGCTAAGAAGTGATTACATAGGGAGGCCAAACTTGGAAACAATATATTAGCTTAAGAATGAATATTTTGCGCTGTGAAAATAACGTAGAAAGCCTTATAAAGGAGATATTTCAGAACTCTATGCAAACCAGCATATGTAATATATACTGTATTCCCATATGCAGTTGGTAGATGATTCAACAATTGCTACTGATTAAAAAGGACTGGGAACTTTAAGGTCATGCTGTTAGAATTTTAAGCTGATTTTTTTTCTAGTCAGATCAGTAGTAATTGCACTGGTCTGACAAGATGTGTTGTAGATTTGTTTTAGGAATTACTCAGGAATTCCTATTCTATTTGCCTGGTAGCAGCTAAGTGTGTCCCACAGGAACAACTCTGATGGTAACATCTAAGTTGGGAAAATGGCTTTACTAACAAAATATCCCCTAGATTTGACGCCAAAGAAAAACAGAGAAAATATCGAATCCTAGTATTACTAGTACTAATAAAGGCATTGTTATGCATCAATATAGTACCAAAATCATATACTGCATTGATTTCATTGCAGATTTGTATCACCTATGTATGCTTATAAGTTTAAACATAAACTGTTTTTAAATGCACAGGAGGAAATTTTTTCATTCAAAATCCTACACTTAGCACCATAATGCATTGGATCAATTTTGTAATCAAAGAACGATATTATACTGGCTTCAGTACACTCACCAAGAAAACCTCTGTGGCTTAACTCTTAAGTTTTTGTAATTTTCAGTTTGGAAATGGATCTTCCTAACTCAGTTTCTAAGAGCTGTGTGGCTTGACACTGAACATTTCTGTATTGGAGGACGAACTGACATATAATCACTAATAATAAGTAAAGAATTTAGCATATGAATACATTAGTATATGTCAGATGAGAAAATATAAACAGAAAAAGCATCTTAAAATTTTTAAGGCACTTATCCAGTGAAAAAATGTATATAAAAACATTATTATAGCCTAATAACATGAAGGAAGGAGGTTCAAAAATAGCTAGTCTGTCACAGTCCAATTTGAAAATCCATAAAGTAGTCTTATTTTTCACATATGGTTTGTGTTTCACATATGCTTTAGTGTATTAGAACTGCATGAGGGAAAAAGGAATTGAAGTGCAAGTCCTCCATATGCATGATTTACTGTGATTATATATAAAGTGTGTGCTTGCATATCAAAATCTACTGGCTGTAATTTTCTGTCTGATTTTTGTTTAAACTTCCTTTTTCTTCTTTCTTTTTTTTTCTTTAGTTTTTTTGTACTTTTTTTTGGTTGGGTTTTGTTGTTGGGTTTTGTTTTTTTTTGTTGGGGGTTCATTTGTTTTGTTTTTTTGCTTGCTTATTTGTTTGTTTGGTTTTATTTTCTTTAAAATTGCTGTAACAGATTCTTCAGTGTCTTTCTGGTACCTTCTTTTCTGGAACTGTGGACTAAAAGGCAGTCACAGTGGAGTTGCAGCTTCTGGATTCCACTGCTGCTATCAGCTTGTTCATTCATCAAGAACCTCCTTTGGACTTCGGATACACCAATAACGTTTGTCTAATAATATTGAATGACTGTTGCCTGGCAATGTTTGTATGTTCTCTAAGGCATTCAAGTGAATGTTTAACTTTGTTTATTATCGTGCTTTTTGTCTGTCTGTGCTGAGCTATTTATCATTGTTTGCAGTGGCTTTGCAGTTTATTTCCTTGATAGTTTGATCCTTTAATTTACATTTCCTCTTTTCATCAGGATACAAATGTGCGTCTTCTAGACATCACTTATGTCTGAAAGAGATCTTTTAAAATTTGGGAAGCTGATTCAATTTGATTGAAAAAGTGGAGTTGAGCTTATTTTTCCATTGCCAAATACATCTCCTACATGTTGCAGGAGCCACTTCACTGTTGGACCATTCCACATGCTACAAAAACATGTGATTTAACTATATTTTTTTCATAGTGCTTGCTTTTCTATTTGGGGCTCCCTCTTCTCTTAGTCTATTTCCTTCTATGAGCTTGATCCACATTGCCCTAGCTCCTTGCCTGTAACATTTCAAACTTCTTCATTCCTCTCAACTCTGCACTTGCAGACACATCTATGTACAAAACAGTTTCTTGGAAATACTGTAGGTGGAGGGACCCACACTTTAATCAGAAAATCAGAAAAATTTCATTGTACCTCCTCTCCCCATATTTGTGGTAGGGTATTTTTATTTTTATGAATTAAATTTTATTAAATACAGAAAACTGAAGTTGGGAAGTGGTTGGGAAGTGGTAGGCAAACATAAACAAATCTTGGAATCAGATGTGCTTTCTTTGAAATATATCAGCAAATGCTCTTTAATGACTGTGTTTTAAATACGCTAGACGCTGTAGGGTACTTTATCCAAAATGCCAATAAACAGGTTTCATAATTCTGCAGTCGGTTTCTATGAGATGAAGGCATTCTGCAGAAAAAGAATTTTCAGGAGTTAATCAGCTACTGGTGAGATATAGCTTAATAAGATGGGCCCCACATAGGACGATCAAAAGAAAACCTTATTCTCTCATTTTAAACTCAGCCAAGGTGTCCGTGTTGACAGTCGCAGTTCTACTTGAGTCATGGAAGTTGAATATTCTAGGAGGATCTTCTGACAATGAGTTACTGCTCTTTTTTCTCAGTCAACAATTTTTAAATAAAATTCTCTTCCTCAGCTTTTGACAGAATGCTTTTGTTGTAGTTGCATTAATATTAAACCAAAATAACTTCTGTTATACAACTGATGATTTATACTAATGCTTAGTGTTATTTCACGGAACCAGAGAACTTAAGGTATAGGAGAGGTAGGAACTTGAAGCATTGGGTTTTTTTTGTGCAGTTTGGTTCATGTTCAGCTGTGGAAAGTATTATTGAAGCTTGGTACTTGTGTGGTGTTGGGGAACAAAAGCCAGAATCAGGTTTGGATTCCATTCAGGTTTCATTCAGATCAACAAAGTCTTTTCAGCGGGATGTTTCATGCTGTTTATTTTATTCTGCTTTGAAATAAACAAAGGAGAGTGGCCTCAGGCCTGCTGGATTTCTTCTTTCCCTTTAACTGCAAGTACAATTTTTAGTCATATCTTCAGCAGCAGAAAGGGGATGTAAAATTGAGGCTTCTGTTAGAACCTTTGCTTCATACCTTGTCAGAGCCATGGTTCTAGTCTGGCATCTCAGGTGGTATCTGTATAAAACAGCTACTATCTCCAAAGAGCACTCTTGAAAAGAGACTGCCTGGCCTGGCCAGGCCATTGGTAGGGCCAGCTGCATAGAGAATGCAACTCTCTTACGCAAGCCTTGAATACTGTGGACTTGTGTTTTCCAAGGTTGTGCTGCATATCAACAGTGGATTACTGCTACTGTGATGATTTAAATTGTAGAAATTATATTAGGAAGAATTGGTAGCCAGGACAGTTTTGAATTACCTTGTCTTGGTGGGAACCAAAATTTCATGTTTTGAATAAAGAGATATACTGGTGTTTCTGCATGCGGTGAGGTATCAATAAGCTTTAAAAAAATCTCAATTTGACTGCAGTAAAGCCTGACATTTCTCTTTTTATTTCAAGAACATTTCTGATAGACTGCATTGGGAAAGCATTTTGATTGATTCTGTGGAATCTGCTTTGTCTTACTTCTGATGGCATTATGAGTATAGTTATTTTGCTAAAGACATATAAAAATGTACTTATATTTAAGAACATTTTTGTTTTGTTGTATTAATTCATATTTTGTGTTCTAAATAGCATGTTATTTAGTATTCCAACACGTATTCTGTTGAACCAATAACACAGAATGAAGATAATTCCTACCTAAAGGAGCTTAGTCTAAATGATACTGGTTTTTCCATATAATTTGTACTATAAGAAAAATTACAGTGAAATATTTTTTGCTTGTGTCTTCTAGACTCTCAGCAGAGAGTTACAGCACAGCATAGAAGAACTAAGAACAAAAATCAAAAGACAAAAAAAATGGGCAAGATGAAAGCATTTTCTTTCCCAAGAGTCCGTTCAGTTGGCAGCATCTATCCTTAATGTTTCAACAACTGATCTTGAGGAGATACTAGATGTAGAAGATGAGGAGGTAAGCTATTTTAAGGACATCAGTTAAAAGGAGCTAGATGAGAAGATGCTGTATATTTCCATTCTTGAGGAAAAGGATTTCCAGGTAAAGACTGAAATTTCATTGTGCAGCATCCAGCAGATAAATCACAGAACAATTTAATTTAAATAATAAGGTCAGGTGAGAGACTCATAAGGTGGCAAGACTTCAGGCATGAAGGCATAAGACCCATAAGGTGGCAAGACTTCAGGCATAAATATAAACATACTGTTTTGAGCATGTGGATGTAGAGACAGTATTTTCCTTTTTCATGAGACTATTTGGCAGGGCTGTACATGATAAAGACTTCCATATTAATGAAAACAAAATTAGAATGTGTCTTACTGTGACAGATTGATTTCGTTGATGCTTCCTCTCTTGAATTGTGATACCTATTAAAGGTATTTCTGGTAGACAGATGGTTTCTGGGGAAATCCATTGCCTTTTTTTGTTGATTCTATCATACATTTTACTATGAAATATTTGATAGTGTTTCATCAAATCACCCTCTATTAAATAGATACAGTAATAGGATTTCTTATCCATATTTATTTGGGACTGATCAAATAATACATGAAAAAGCCCGTACAGTTGCTTTAATAAGTGTCTAGGAGTTGACCATTATTGGCCTGTAACAGTACTCTGGCGATGGCTTAGATTTAATCTTATTGGAGCTTTATGTTAAAGAAGCCACAAAAGAGAGTTTTCACGTTGGTTAAACAGCAGTGCCTGGTATGTGTATGCACTGATATGGATTGCATTCATGAATACAAATATAATGGACTGATCCCTGCCCTGTTTACTGACATTTATACATATATGCCCTGTAAAGCGATTCTCTTTGACAGAATTGTTCCATACTTACCTCATTCTCAGAGTAATTTCTAGATCCTTTATCTTTTGTCATAGTCACCACTATGCATACATGTTAAAACACAAATATACTTAACTATAGAAAACAAATTTAAAGCACAGGTGATGAATTTACACTACACATACACTACATATTCCATTTATCAGTGCATAGACTCAGGCACCTTTATGTTGAACTCATAAAATTTAGACATAGATCACACATACACCGGTATATTCATATAAAGAGAATGTGCCATGCACGTTTTCAGGGACATGCACAGACAAGGGTGGGTTTATAAATTTAACAGAGCACTGATACTTGGAGGATATGCTTCAGATAACTAATTTTGCAAGCATAGTTCCCACTTCCACATGCTTTTTATTTAATGTATACCCAATTACACATTTCCTTTATTGTTCCTTATGTGTTTCTATTTTTAGGAAACAGCAAAGACAAAAATGGAATTTGAAAAAGATAAAGAATGGCTGCAGCATATACAGAAACTTATGGAAGCACAGGTGCTCAATTATATCTTCCCTTAATGAATTATAATTTTGTACTCTGAGTAGCTAAGTGTTTTTAGGTTGTAATTAATACATTGCATTTGTTATTATGTTGCCATTGATGGTCCCAAACTATATTGTGATAAGGCAATGTGAAATCCTTGTTTCGTAGCGTTTTGTTTTTATTTCTTTTAAAGTAAGAGTCACTGCATAAAACTGAAGAGATGTTACTCTAGGATTTGTGATAACTAACTTAACAGCTGAAACCAGTGAAACAATGCTGAAGAAAACCAGCACAGATCTTGGCAAATGTTAATTGAATTATTGAAACAGTGTGTAATACTTGCTAGAGTGAAAATGATCCATTCTCTCATACCTCTTAGGAAAAGAAGACTTTTTTTTATGTGCCTTTAAAGTTACTAGTTGTTATGGACACCTGAGGAGTTCATGGGTTTCAGTGACCTTTTACTGCGGACCTGTTTCCAGTCAATTCATGTTTTCCTCATAGCCAGACAGCTGTTTATTATCGTGTCTTCTCGCATTCTCTACAATATTTTCTACTGAGACCTCGAGCAGCTTGTTAGTGGGAAGTAAATATTGATTTGGCATCCTGTCAATGCAGAAAGAATGAAAAAATTTCCACCAGAGGCCCCTCAAACATTTTCCTATCGACATTTTCTGGGCAGAGAGGAAGGCTGCATAGAGGATGACAAGTCTGAGACTAGTAGAAATCCCTGAGGGGTCCATTGAGACTGCTGCTGTGACCTGTGTGATACTTTTTCTTCTCTTTCAAGTCTTTTTTTTTAATACACACAGAATCTGCTGGGATGCTCCCCTCTTGTAAGTGATCAAGGGCAGTTTATTGGCAGGTGAGAACCCAGCTTTTGTAGCCATAGTCAGCTTTTGTTTGGACATCACTGACAACATATACTGACTCTTGAAACTTTTCCATTATATTTTTAGTTGTCTCCTTTATTTAGATGTTGGGTAGCTGATGTCTGGAAGGAAATAAAATTTGATTTATAAATACAGTGTTCCTAATGCATGTTCACTAGCATGGGTCCATTAGTGATGTAGTTAATAACAGTTAAGAATGATTGAAAATATTTTGAAAGCCATTTCAAGGGAACATACGCATCAGATTTATACATTTTATCATTAACAGCTTTTGTGTCTAGATTGTATCTTGTGACCAGATTTTTAAGAAATGACAGGTTTTCCCTCTTTCATTATCAAAACTTACTACCATTAAGACTGTGTAATTGCTGCAGCGGAGGAGATGGAAATATCAGTGTGCTTTTACTGGCTTTGTCAGATATACTGACATTTTAATTAAACCTCATGAAACTCAGCAGTAAAAGCACAATTATTTATATTCATTTAATTGCCTTAATTTTAAGAATTTTTTTCAAAATCTATACATTTCAAGATTTTGTACATATTACGAGCTCTAAAGCAGGAATCAGATTCATGGAATACAATGAAGACTTCTTGCTCTGTCTTTTGTTATCATTCTTTGGTAAATCACTAAAAACTTCATAGCAGAATTTTATCACTTCTCTTTATCTGCTATAGACAGACAGCAAAAACCAGGGTGTGGAGAGTGAAGGAATTGTTGTCTATGAAACCAGCTATATTAGAATTGCAGATGTCAGCTAGGGATAGAAGAGCTCATTGCTCTTAGCTGTGTAAGTTTGTGTACAAGTAATTGTGATTTTCAGTGATTTTTTGCTCCATCTTGTGGGTTCCTCAGGAGGAACACTGAGAGTACAAGTAATTTTGTGGCAAGCAGCCCATTTTTAGAATTGTGAGAGGATTATAGTGCTTTTTAGGAGCAGCCAGCTGTGCTTTTCATTTCTGTACATGTTAAGGCACATAGATGGAAATTGTTAAGATTTATTCCTCTGTATTTGGAGCAGCTCGTGGAAGAGCTCTATGCCCTTTAAAATGCTTTACTCATATCTTGTAGAGCTGGGTTGTGGTTTCTTTTAGTAAGCTTTGGTAATTCTTCTGATCAGAAAACTAAAGCTTATGCTGAAATGTAAGCTTTCTGTCAGACTTCGCTCATAACAGACTAGCTACTTAGTGTTACATGTTGGCAAACTGTGTACCCATTTGCAATCTTGAACAAAGATGCAGGACTGCCCTTTTCTGTTTTTCTGAGTAAAGGTTGAAAAGTGCATCAGATCTCCTAACACTGCAGTTTGATATAGTGTCTATTTGTGCCATTGAGCCATGACTTTGGAACATAATTGCCCAGCAGTATTGATTTAATTGCCTAGGTTTATTTGTGGACTCCTAATTATTGACTGGAGGTAAATTTAATGGAGAAACTTTTATGAACACTGGGAAACTGCTGCTATTGCTGTTATACATAATGAACTGCATCATATCCCTTTAGATCATTCTTCAAACTAATTTTATTCCACTGCGACAGTACGATAACATTTAAAATGTCATAGACATTTTATTTTTATTACTGACATACGCCATTTTACTGCTGCATTAGAATTTTGGGGGGGACTGAGGGAAGCACTAGTTGCTTTTTACTGTCATTTTATAGATTTTCCTAAAGTTTAATGATAAAGGATAGCACACCTCTATTTTCATTTCATCTGTACCTTTATTTTCCATACTCTTATGACTTGAAAATGTCTAATATCTGTCAGCTTTACAAGAATATTAATATTTTAGTGATAAATATTTTTGCATTCCCGACACTCACAGGCATCAATCAGAGTTTGTGTCTTTATTTTGTCAACTACTGTAGAAACACATGTCAAGAAATTATACCACTGCTAAGAAGCTTATGATTTGAAAGAGACATCTCTACATTGGGATGTTATTATGTAAATACAAATCATATTGTATGAAAGTACAGTCATGTTATGAATTTGGCAGAGCTGGGAAAAATCACTTACTGTCTAAATCTACATTTGAATAGCCAAGAAGTGGGTTTTTCTGTTGCTTTTCTGTATTTGTATGGTAACACCCTAGAGTGTTTTCACTAAAGAATAAAAATAAATCATCTTAATAATTGACATTAGGATAAAAAGAAAAAGGTTTGCTTGCCTATGAAGAACCTGAATGTGGAGAGGCTTCACATGAGTGCACGCAGATAGCTGCTATCTGAATATGGGTAGAGGCATCAGACTCATTATGCATTACTGTTTGAGCTCAGGAGAAGTTGGGAGAGGTATCACAATATAGACTTTTGAGCTTTCAATGGTTTATGGTATCTGGGAGGGAACAAATATGGTTATCTCAATATGTTTGTGCGTTTACTGCTTGCAAGGCAAGTGATGGGGCTTTTACCCACATCTGTGTGTGTGTGTCTTATTAATTGAACCTAGCTCTCTCTTTTTACAATTATAAACACACACACCCAAAAAGCCCCAAACAAAACAGCAGTCTTCTCTAGTTTTTTCTCATCATAGGAAACTTACATAGCTAAAGCAAGAGGATGACTTTTTTTTCATGTAACTTAAACGTGATTTCTTATGCCACTCTCAACTTTCATTCATTGTGACTGATTGTAAGGAACACCATCTCAGAACAATCCATTAATAATTTTGTATGTGAGTACACCGTGTTAGCCCAACCCAGATTGCTGCCTGAAGTCTCCAAGAACTATTTTTTAGTAAAATTCAAACATCTATCTAACTTTTCCAAGCAGTGAAGCAAATGATAGCATTGATTTAGTATGTCCCTATGAGATCTACAGCAACTCTTGCCTTCTCTCCCTTCTCATGTACTTCTAGGGATATCACATAAACAAAGCTGCCTAATAAAATCTTTACTCTTTTGACTTCATTATGAATCTAAATATCATATTCCAATGGTGAAAACTTCTGCAAAGGCTCCCTTCCCTCTGTTCTGTGGGCATTCTGTAAGTATGTATGTAACCCATTTCTAGAACAGGTTTTGGAACAGTATGTTCACTAATCATCAGTAGGGATTTTTCCCAGCCCCTTTTTAGGATTTGCACTGGCTTCCCAATACAGATTTGTGTTGCTGTCACCTGGGAATGGACACTAACAGCTATGGTTGTTTCCTTTCAAATTCTTCCAGATGGAACTCACTTGCTTTGCTTTCATTAGACTCTCTCCAGTCTGTGTCTGTCTTTTTTTTGAACAGGTCTCTACTCACTGCCTGTCCTCTGATCACACACACATATTGACCCATGCACAAGCAGCTGCACACACCACTGCAACTCATCAGCAGGTATTTCAAGTACCTACACCTTAAAAAGCAGCACCAGCGTAGTCTGAACCATATTGTGGGCACCATTAGCATTGATATCAGACCATCAGAAAGTAACCATGATTTTGTTCTCACTACGAGAGTAAGAGCTTAGTCCTGTGCGTTGACAATCCACTACAGTATAAATCTGTGGTTTATCTCATGCACACAAGCAAAACCATGTTACATCACTTGTTCTGAACTGAAAACAAGGAGAAATTGACTTGGTTACTCAGAATAGGAATACAGATGGGCCCATACATGTTTATATTATCATGTATATACAGCCATCACAAAGCAGAATAAGAACAAAGAAGTCAAGAACAACAATGAAGTGAAACATTTCTCTAATTTATTTTTTTTAACTTTGACTTTTGTTTTATGGTGAAATTAGGAGGCTTTGGTTATTGGTCTGAGTTTCTAGTTTTATTTCAGATTATTTTTTTGTGGTTCACTTAATTCAATTTAAATCCGCTCTGCAGTGCGTTTGAAGTTTTCTTGGGCAAGTTTATTATACTGATGATCCATATGGGGAGATTTAAAATAGTTGTAACCACTAATTTATGTACTCTAAAATTTAAATACCTTTATTTTTATGATAGCACATTTTAGATTTTGTAAAGCAGATGACAAATAATGCTACACTCTGCGAATGGAGACGCTATGTCTCATCAGAACAACGACGTTGCCTTACATTCATTATAAGTCTTTTCATGGGCAAATATGTGTATATTTATACACTTGTGTTGAGGGAGGCTCAGTCATGTGGTGTAAGGTCAATAAGTATTACTAGTTTGTTTTTCACAGAAGGGATCTCCAAAAGAAGCAAACTTAAGGTCAGAATAAATAGGTGAGAGAAACAGAATTAACTGTCACCATTTCTGACTTTTTATGATCAGATTACCTTACGTATATCCATACACCAAGGTATCTGTCTAATAAGCTGTGTAAGAAATATGCCTTTCTAGTATCAAAGTACCAAATATGGCTTTCTAGTATCAAAGGATAAATCTGTAAGTCTGGAAAGATGTATAAATAAATAAAATTATTTAAATCCACAGGTAGCTTGCACTTTCAAATGTCATGAATTTATACAAATCAATTAAATACTGCTTCTGTTAAAGCCTACCATAATGTACTGATTTAGGATCACTGCCATTAATGGTTAGTCTTCAGTTACATGGATTGTGGCACAGATAACTATGAAACATTTGAAAGAAGTAGCACTGTGTATTAAAATATCTAACTATCATGGTATAAACAAGTTTTGACTCTTTGGGTGTGCACTTAGCACTCACTGAACTTCCGAAGCCTTCTCCAAGCACATGGCAGGTTTGGAAGCTGGGATAAATAGAGTAGAGGCATCTTCAAAAGTTGTGAAGTTCTAGAGAAAAATGTAAAGGAAAGCTTCCCAGTATAGTTACAGAGCTATCATTAAAAGTAAATCTTACAGGTTTCTATTAAAGATGAAGACTCTAGAGATCATCCAGTTCTGGGTGTCTGTATAGAAAGAAAACCAGATAGAACCATACAGGACTTTCTCTGAAAACAACAAATGTTGAAAAAATGACATAATGTTCCACTTCCAAATGCTCTTGATTTAAATGAATCATTTAAATGGAAAGGGTTCTTGAAATATCACTTTGCTATGACATGGAAGCCACAGAGAGAAGTGATCAGCAAGTAAAATGTAGCTAGAATTATATGAGCCAGAGACATCAATAAGAAGCCATTCATCTCAGGCACAACATTAAGGAGGTGAAATCTATCAGAAATGAATGAAGTTAAGCTAGGCCAGAAGAATTAGAGACTTTGAAGTAATGATATAGTGCTCTCGTAGAAAACATATTTAGACAAAGAGAGAAAGCAATTAGAGTGAACAGGATGCTGGAGTCTGTTTTTAAAGCATGATAGCAAGTAAGTCTCACAGAACGTCAGATAAGATTATGTCTTATATTACGCTGAACAGATTTGTGCTCAGTGAATTCGATCCCTCTATTCCCCAAAAAGTCATCACAATAGCACACAGGAGAAAGCTGACAGGTGTAGATGACTACTAGAAAATTCTTACCATAGCTATAAGTTATTTATGACAGATGGAGACATGTCTGGCCAGAAGCCAGCCCTTTTAAACTCCCTTTCCCGTAGAAAAGGGAAATAATCTGTATTATTGTCCTTTTTCTGTAACTACACAGTGATTGTTCAGCAACATGTAGGATTGCCATTATAGACACTTCACAATGGATGATTGCTATTAATAAGATTTTCCTTGCTACCATTTTAGACTTTTTTTCTGACTTGTAAGTAATTAAAAATATCAGTATAGAGATTCATATCTGTATATCAGTTCACACATTACATCAGCATTTGTATTTTATGTACTTTTATGTCTGGGTTTTTTATTTGTTTCTTTTATAATTTTTGTTTCATATGTCTAGGAAACAGGCAATACTCCATCTCGTGTAGGTACTATACAAGTTTCTTTTTAAAATGGAATAAAGAAGTGAAAAAATAAAATCAGGGCAGCAACACTGAAGTGTGGAACTAGACAGGAGTTCTAGATGAAAAAGTATTTCATTCAACTACAGTTGTGAAAAGCACAAGCAGGTTGTTTCACCAAATGCTGTATTTTAGCAAATTTTTTTCTGGTGGCCTTATTAAGGTGAAATTCTCTCTCCTTCTGATATGAGAAAAAGCTGTTAACTTCTGGTGTGGGACTGATCCCTCAGTCACCACTGGTCTCATCAGGAGTTCAAGGAAGCTGACAGAGCTCTGTGGAGCTGATAGAGACTTTTCGACAGTGAACGAAAACTGCCCTGCTCTCCTCTGTGGCACAACACTGGCCACTCTGAGTGGCGTTGCCATGACCAGTGTTCTGTACCACCTTTAAAAATACTTCCCAGCGAACAGTGAACTGATGCATCAAGACTGTGAAAGAAAACCTCTTTAAGCAGTAAGGAGGTGACACTGAAAAATATACCAAATATCTTTCTTCTAAGGCATCAGTTGTGCAAATATATCTCTTATACAGAGGAGTTAGAAAAGAGGTTTTCATTTTTCTCTGTAGATATAACAGAATCACAGAATATGCAGAGTTGGAAGGGACCCACAAGGATCATCAAGTCAAACTCTTAGTCCTACACAGGACCATCCCCAAGAGTCACACCATGTGCATGACAGCATTGTCCAAATACTTTTTGAACTCTGTCAGGCTTGGTGCCCTGATTACTTCCCTGGGGAGCCTGTTCCAGTGCCCAACCACCCTCTGGGTGAAGAACCTTTTCTAATATCCAGCCTAAACCTGCCCTGACACAACTTCAGGCTATTCCCTTGGGTTCTGTCACTGGTCACTACAGAGAAGAGATCAGTGCCTGCCTCTCCTCTTCCCCTCATGAGGAAGTTGTAACTGCAATGAGGTCTCCCCTCAGTTTCCTCTTCTGCAGGCTACAATTTTTTTGGTATCATGTTTTAGAGAGGCAGACATTTGTGGCATATTCCAATTAATGCACTTGGAGGTTTGAGGTTTTATTTTGCTTTGAGTGTTTTTTTGTGGTTTTGTGTTTGGGGTTTTTTGTTTTGGTTTGGTTTGGTGTTTTGGTGGTGAGGGTGGTTTGGGGGTTTGGGTCTTTGTTTGTTTGTTTATTATACAAGTTTTCATGTGTGAGTCTAAGGCAATTGACACAGCACTGAAAATTATACTGGTGGTTCTGTCTCATCCTCCTGAGAGTAGTGAACATACACTCATACACTACCATTTCTGCATGCCCTAGAGGTGACTGTAACCTTTTATTGATCAGCTGATTGAAGATAAATGACAGAGATGCTGGTACTGCAGTTTACATCATTAACATGGTCAGTAAAGCATGAATTGTTCAATAAGGAGTTTATCTTCTTTCATTTTACTCTGCTTTTATATCATTTTTATGATAGAGAGCAAATTTTCAGACACTAACCGAGCAGATGAACTTTAAAGATCAGATATGTCTGTGTGTGGTAATTGTCAGAACTAAGAGTAATCTGATACTTTAAAGATATTTAATAAATGTCTTTCACATGAAGAAAATGAAGTCCAATGATCATTTTTCTTACTATGATTCTTTTTCAGTTTCCTTTTGCCTCACACTTAATGGATGTCGTACTTGAAAAATTAAATGAGAAGAAGAAACTGGTAGAAGAGTACAGTTCTCTCATGAAGCAGACTCTATGATATTGCTAAGACCTATCTTTGCAAAGTGTGCCTTTCCTCTTCACATAAAGAACTGTCAATATGCGTGTTCAATACATACATAGAAACCATGAACTAATTAATTGTTGGACAAGAGGAATTAATTAAATTCCTATTAGGAAGCAGTGTGGTATTTGATTCCTGAAGACAGAAATTGCTTCAAATCAATGCAAAGTTCAAAATTATTTTTTTTAAATGCATTGGCAGTGAACACTAGTGCAGGCTTTGTAGAGAGAAGATGTCTTTGTTATGACTAATATACATCTGTACAATTTTGAAAGCACAAAATGCACCTAAGTAACACCTGGTCGTACTAATCAGAACAGTAGAAGTAGGATTTGCAGAAGAACTGGGAATATCATTGAGATTTTGGTTACCTAATTTCTTTTAGCTTCTTTGTAAAGCCCAGCCTTATGATATGTGCCATATAAAAAAGACATGCCTTTTTATGTTGGAAAAAATGATTATAGAATAAAAGTATTCTATGTGGAGTAGTATTCATGGGAAAACTGTATTTCCTTCTGAGTATATTGGAGTATAATGTGTCCAATGTATTTTTAAAAAATCAATACAATGAATTTTTTTCCATTGTGGGTTCTTTTTTTTCACTAGTAGACCCAGTTCTTTTTGAGCTAACATCCAGCTGCAAGCTATCACTTTCCTTGGAAAACTGGTATAGAGTTTTAGTCAATTATTTTCACCACGATTTATCTGGCATTGCTAACATCTAATTGCTGCTCCTTCACATCTTTGATCTTAGAGTTTGTATTCCTCTGGACCAACTCACCTGAAAAAAAAACAAGACATGGGTTTCTGACTTCAATGGTAGTAACATTTAGCTCTTAATATATGGCTCTTCATCTATAGGTATCAAGTTGTTTTACAAATGGTATCATTGTCCATACTGGGTGAGGAATCAGAAGCAAGATCTATTTGCCCTAAGACCACTCAACTAAAGCATGGAACACAAAACATTAAAGTTTTCTGCACATCAGTCCAGTGCTTTTCCTAGGATGTCATCATGTATCTTCTAATTTATGGAGTTCACTATTTGGTGTCTCTAAGAAAAGGAAGACATCTCTCTCTCTTAAAAGGGAAGACATCACTAAACTACTGCTCAGTTGCACGTGGTGATGACAGGGGCTTGGAAGGATTTTCGCTGGAATTAGAGAAAACCATGCAAACATATTTCACCTGCACATGTAAATAAAATCCAGGAATTAGCCCTATATAAAAAACGGAAAACATCTTTAGGAATAGTTGACCACCACCTTTTTCAGTGCAAGAAATCAGGGGCATCATATGAAACTATGAGGTGATATATTCAAAGTAAGCAAAAGGAAGCCACTCTCATGCAAATGCAACTGAGCTGTGGAACTATTTGCCTGAGAGTTTAACTGACCCTAAAAATTTTCATGGGCTCCAATGCCACTGCAATAATGCCAACAAAAATTGTGGATGATAAATCCATCAAAACAGGTGGAAACCATGTTCATCTGTTTTTCAGTAACTCCAGCAAAATGTGTTTGAAAATAATTTCAACATAACATCTATTGCAGTGTGGTGAAAAGAACTTCATGAGGCCAAAGCTCAGTGAAAATTACCCTCATTGTCTTTGTTTCCACAAAGACACCTGCCAGTGCAAGTCTGATCTTGGTGCTTATCTTAGCACTTTGGTGATCTTTTTCTTGGTGGAAATGCTAATTCACATAGAAAATACATCTCAAAAGGAGAGAACTTCTCAGCCTACTACTTTTTTCTCAAAACTTACACATATCGCTTTACTGGTCCTGCAAATTGCTCTATCTCTTGGGCGACTGGGTATGGTGAGGTGTCTTTTCTTGGCCCAAGAGTAAACGAGCAGTGAATGGTGCAGAACCCAATTATCTACTTCATCTGAAGAGAGAGAGAGAGCAAAACAAAATCCTTAAACCCACTGAAGCCAGATTTATTCACAGGTGTTCCTGAAATTATAACACTGCTAGTCTTTCTGAAAACTTTACTGGAAAGGTTGCCAAATATCTTTCAAAATCTTTCTTAATCTTTTAAATGTATTTTAATGGTATTTTCATTCAACTTCTCTAATTCGATAAACACAAATGAAAATGGAAATATCAGTCAGCATTTTTTCAGTGAAAAAAACCCCAAACACATAGTTTGAGATATTTTTGTAAGAAGAATAAAAAGGGTAATATTACAAAGAGAACAAAGTTTTGTCTTTCACAAGTGTTGAATTCTGTGTGCAATGAACACAGAATGCTGCTCATTTGATCTTTACTTCACCAGCAGAAGAGATGGTCTCTCAAAAATTTTTATTTCTGTAAAAGGATTAAAATTAATTATTTTGATGATGTTTTATGAGTATTTTAAAAATCCCCTTAACACTAGAACCAGGCTCATTACACATGCATCTTACAAATTTCTTGAAGAACTGATTCTGGTTTAGGGAGAAGCATTAGCTCAAGGCTTTCAAGATGATATTGCCAAGAAAGCTAAACATGAAATATATTAAATGCAGTGCTGTTTTGAACTAACTGTACCTACGAACATCCAGAAAAGCCACTTAGTCCGTTTTTCTTTTATTAAGGTAGTTTTCTATGCTGGTGCTTCCTGATATGGCCTCTAGATGGCAAACTTTCACAAAAAATGGGCTCAGTGCTGGCTGCCGTGAGCAGCCTGTGCGGGACCCCCGCGCAGCCGGGCTGGAACATTTGATTACTGCAGCCCCTGAAGTGCTATGTCGGACAGACCTGTCCCTCGGGCAGCAATAGCTGATCTCTGTGCTTGTGAAATAAATTGGCTATTTACAACCATTACCATACAGTGCAGTGACACAAGGGTGAGACTCTAAAACAGAACAGCTTTTATACATATATATCTATATCTATCTGTGTGTATGTATAAAAGTTGTTCTATACACACACACACGTGTGTGTATGCTCGCATGCATACGTGACCATACATACGTAAATATGAAATATAAAGCGTTGTATAGAGCTTCAAAGTTGTTAAAATGTTCTGACCCTCTCAAAAGGGTCACCGAGGCTCGGGCAGCAGTGAGCGACGAAGTCTAGGGCATGTGAGCCGGCTGTACAAGGCGGGGATTCCTGAGTCCGGGAGCACACAAGTAGCAGCCCCACGACCTGGATGGCTTCAGCAGCCATGGGGAGAGGAGGGGACATTGCCGGGAACAACCCAGGGGAATTTAAATGGCTCTAGGGAGTGGGGCTGACCCAGAGCACTGGAAACAGGAGTGGGCAAACAGGGACATGATACAGTAGTGAGGGTGTCACGGCAGTGAAGGTGTCAACAAATAGTTATTTTGCAGAAGGTGTGCCATGGTTGAAGAGCCATGTTGCCAGGTGAAGGAGCTACAGGAGGAAGTGAACAGGCTTTGTAGTATTTGAGCAAACGAGCAAGAGAGAGACTAATTATATTCAGAGATGCTACAGCCTCAAGACTCTCGGGATTCTCGAATTTCCACTGTAGTGGAGAAGCAGCTGGACTTGGAAGCCTACAGGGTAAGTAGTCAAGGGACTGTTGGTCAAGAGTTTGTTAAAGATGAAGGATGGAAGCTGGTCACTGCACATACCAGGAGGAAGGTTCCTCCTCCTCAGAATCTGACAGGTGGGACTGGTGCCTTCTAGAACAGGTATAACGCTCCAGCACTAGAAGGCCAGACAGCTGGTGAGGTAGCCAAAGGTCCTTCTGGGATAGAGGGGCCTCCTGAAACCACCACCTGTACCCTGCATCAAGACCTTCTCTGTCAAGAGGAAAAGAAGGGTAGTTCTTATAGGAGACTCCCTGCTAAGGAGAACAGAGGGCCTGATATGCAGACCAGACCCAACTCACAGGGAAGTTTGCTATCTCCAAGAGGCTCAGGCAAGGGACATTACTGGAAAACTCTCTAGTCCAATAAGGCCCTCTAATTACTGTCAGCTACTGGTTGTTCAAACTGGCAGTGACGAGATAACAAAGAGAAGCCCAAGGGCAATCAAAAGAGACTTCAGGGCCCTGGGACGATTGGTAGAGGATCAGGAGCACAGACAGTGATTTCCTAGATCCTTCCAATAACAAGGAACAATATTGATAGGAATAGGCAGATCCATCAGGTCAATGAGTGGCTGTGAGGTTGGTGTAATTGGAAAAATTTTGAGTTTGTTGCCCATGGGATGATCTACTCAACACCTGGTCTACTGACACCTGACAGGATGCACCTATCTCAGAGGAAACAGACTTCTAGCACAGGAGCCAGCGAGGCTTGTTGACAGAGTTTTAAACTAAATTGGAAAGGGGAAAGGGACAAAACCAGCCTTGCCAGAGATGAGCGATGGGATGGTGTGCCAAAATTTCAGAAAACCAGGACTCATGGGATCCCTCAATCTGCCTCAGGAGGTGTTGGCTGCAAGGTACCACACCTGAAATGTTTCTACGCTGACACATGCAGCATAAGGAACAAACAAGAGGAGCTCAAAGCTTTGGCCCAGTCCCAGAGATTTGACATCACTGGCATAAGTGAACCCTGATGGGATGAGACTTGTGACTGGAGTAGAGTTGTCCTGTTAGGTGAGTTTTAAGCTCTTTAGGAGGGATAGGCAGGGCAGAAGAGGTGGAAGAGTGGCACCCTACGTATGGAGCTCACAGTTGGGAATGGCACAGTTGAGAGCCTCTGGGTAAGAATCAAGGGGCAAGAAAATAACATGGATGTCACTGTTGGAGTCTGCTATAGACCTCCCAGCCAGGACAATGACACCAAAAAATTATTCTTTGAGGAACTAAGGGACACTTCCAGGGTAAATGCCCTTGGCTTTGTGGGGTGCTTCAACTTGCCAGAAATTAACTGGGAGCCTCACAAAGCTGGTACAACCTAGGCCAGAAGATTCCTAAAAAAACTGATTGACAACTTTATGGAACAGGTCCTACGGTCCTTTCTGACAGGTCCTTGCCGAGTAGGAAAGATGCTCTCCTTGTCAAGATAGTGGATCTCATGAGTGAAGTGGAGATTGGTGGCTGTCTTGGCCACAGTGACCATGAGATGATCGAGTTTAAAAACTCTGTTGGCAGGAGGAAAAATGCCAGTAAAACCTCAACTCTGGACATGAGGAGAGCAGACTCCAGGCAGGTGCTGGGGTCCGTCAGTGCTGGTCACTTTTTAAACATCACCTCCTAAGGGCACAGGAGCAACAATTCCCAAATGTCAGAAGTCAAGCAGGCGAGGCAGAGAGCTGGCTTGGCTAAACAGGAATTTTCTCTTGGAAATAAGGCAAGAATGCAAGGTGTATGCCTAGTGGAAGCAAGGTCAAGTCACATGGGAAGAATTCAGAGATGCTGCTTGCTGC